TCACCCCGAAAAACCTTGAGGGTAGGAGGTCAAACCCGCTACATCGAAAGTGATTGTCATTGGATGGAAAAACATAGAACATTTGAATCACCCAATTGAATTATCACCTAATCGCCACCCAACTCGAATAAATAGACTGAGCAAGCAACAATCTTTCTTTTATGATCATGCTCACTTGACCGTGAACGCCTGAAGGATCTGGACTTAGAAACTTATCTAGCGTGATTCATAACTGCAACCTAGGACTTAGCAAGTACACGTCTTTTAAGATCTGATCACTCAGTTGTGAACGCTTGAAGTAACTGGACTTAGTACTTCACTAGCGAGATACTTAACTGCGACTGCTACCTAGAGTACTTGTAAGTACGCAACCATGATTTTGGTATCATGTTACTGCCCATGTATTTATATTATTCATTCGTGTTTGATCTTATTCTAATAATGCCTATATTCATCTATATTGATATTATGAATTCTATTATTGATTTTTGCCGCGTGCTACGACCCGCCGCCATTCCATCATGGGGATGGTAGGTGTTGCTCTAAAGTGCACATGTCTCTTTTAAAAAGAAGACAATAGGAATATCATGTACCTATAATTTTAATGATTGTTGATGCTACCATGTCCCATAATTTATTAATTAAAATGTTTGCTTGGTCCAACATTGTCGCGAAGCAAGATCTGCTTACGCCGACAATGATCAGACTTATAATCCCATCCACCATTTGGATGTATATGCACGAGCTATGTCACCTTCCATGCATCGATCTGAATTCGTTGCTAGTGGAACGGGACTTATCAGCTTATGGCTATTCACTTGGATACTTATCCAATCTTGTATCTTTTTGCCCTTAGCCTGGTTTCCATTACTGGACAGAATTATCTTGAGCTGACGCTAGGGGATTGATCTACATCCTACACCAAACTACCTGTCAGCTACCAAAAGGACTTCGAGTTCCAGTGACTCTCGCTACCACGATTCATCGCGGGAGAGTCATTTTCCCCATCGCAGACATTCCACGGAATCTACTACCGGGAACTCCGACTTCGCTACGTATGGAATAGCTACGAAGGCCGGATCAGGGACACGCTTCTGGAACAGAAGGGACTCCCTCACTGTGTGATCCACCGAGACCATCACAGAAACTATAAAGGCTAAGTTTACCAAGATAGAGCATATAACTTGAGGAATATAGCAGTAGTAATGATGATACCGTCTGTATGTTTGGGACACTTGCTTTGTGTTAATATACCTTTCTAATTGGATGAAATCCGTTTGATGTATATACATTAAGCACCACGAGTGTTTCACGTAGGAAGTTGTAAATATTATTGTGTAATAAATATTTGTAGTTAATTTCACCTTTAACTAAGACTTCGTTTCAGTCTATACTATATGTATATAGATAGGTGTTATGTCTGTGTGGTAATTTGGCTCAAATAACGTACCCCTAGACAGAGCCAAGAGATCTCATACGAGAGATACTCCACAGGAGATCTCATACGAGAGATACTCCACACATGTATATTAAAAGTCAAATCACCACAGGGGGGCAAAAAATTTTTAGTAATGTTTTAATATAGTTTTAATTAACTGTAGCGTATTTGTATGGTGAACGAACGGACAGGACATCAGCTTAGTTACTTACTCTTTATTTTCTCTTTACTTTAATACATTTTTTGTCTATTTTTGTCTAAAAAATTTTTATCCAATCAATCCAGGGGGGGGGAAGTGCCCCCCCCCTTGCCCCTACCTGAGGGCGCCCATGGGCACATCAGTGATTTATTTTTCTTATGCATTTTTTGGACTGAGTCGCACATCAAGCAAATAACAAAAAGAACCCAGTATTATAAACGTCCAAGGGTTACTTTGACTTCTTGCACAACAGCCTTGTGGTGGCTAGGAGAAGGAAACGGAGTCCTAGAATCTGACAGTGTCTCCTGTTGCTGAACAAAATTGGGCCTACACCTAGACAAGGTTCTATCCACCACATCTGCCCCTTCCATTTATTTGTAATCTCTTATAGATTTAGCTTCTGGTGTGTTCCGCTTCCTTTTCACAAACCACCCTCCCCCTTACTCAACCACCCTCCCCCTTACTCAACCACCCTCCCCCTTACTCAACCACCCTCCCCCTTGCACAACCACCCTCCCCCTTATTCAACCACCCTCCCCCCNCTACCACCCCCCCCCCCTTACTCAACCACCACCCCCCCCCTTACTCAACCACCCTCCCCCTTACTCAACATTTTTTATGTTGATTAGTACCGAGTGTTGAAAAAAAAGGCTGTCACGCAACAAGCGTCGTGCTCGGAGGTTGAACTAGGGTAAAAAGTTTGAATTTATTTTCTTTAGGGGGAGGTGACTATTACAATAATCAATAAATAGCCGCTGGTATAGATTAGGACTATCTGTAGGGCTGTATGTAGGACTATTAATCAAAAGCCGGCGGTTAGGGTGTAGGCCTGTCTGTAGGACTATTGTTTAAAATCCGCAGTTAGGGTGTAGTACTCTGTAGGGCTGTTGTTCAAAAGCCGGCAGTTAGGCTGTAGGACTGTCTATTGGAATATTGTTTAAAAGCCGGCAGTTAGGCTGTAGGACTGTCTATTGGAATATTGTTTAAAAGCCGTAGTTAGGTTGGAGAATTGTCTCTAGGACTATTTGTTTAAAAGCCGGTAGTTTTGGATTAAGACTGTTTGTAGGAATATTGCGTGAAAGTCGGAAGTTAGGGTGTTGGGTAGGACTATTATTTAAAACCCGACAGTTTGGGTATAGGACTGTCTATTGGACTATTGCTTAAAAGCCGGCAGTTGAGATGTTGGACTGTCTGTAGCACTATTTTGTAAAAGCCGGCAGGTAAGATATATGACTCTCTGTAAGACTATTGTTTAAAATCCGCACTTAGGGTGTAGGACTGTTTGTAGGACTATTGTTTAAAGGCCGGAAGTTAGCTTGTAGTACTGTCTGTAGGACTATTGTTTAAAAGCCAGCAGTTAGGGTGTAAGACTGTCTGTAGGACTGTCTGTTGGACTATTTTTTAAAACCGGCAGTTAAGATATATGAATGTCTGTAAGACTATTGTTTAAAATCCGCAGTTAGGGTGTATGACAGGCTATAGGACTGTCTATTGAACTATTGTTTAAAAGCCGGTAGCTAGGGTGTAGGACTGTCTATAGGACTATTGCTTAAAAGCCGGCAGTAAGGGTGTAGGACTGTCAGTAGGGCTACTTTTCAACAACAAAATACGGACCCGATTAAAAAAAAAATACTCCACCCGGTAAGCCCTAGTAGTGTCCTACTAGATTTATGTTTTTAGCGTTGGACGTATGGGGAAGTGTGGCAAAGAGTGGCGAAGAATGGGGAAGTGTGAGGTTGAGTTAAAATCATCGCCCGCGTTGGTTGGCATTTGGGGGGGGCGGGGGGAGGGTCACCATTAAAATCTGCGTCTCAAAGATGCACCCAGCTTTCGATCAACTTGAAAGCATGTTACCCCTTAACAACAGTGAGTCAATAAATTGGTGGGACTTGGTGGGAACGTTTCATTAAGCGGCACTGTGGGAGTCAATGTTCCGGTTGGTGATTGAACTTGATATTGATTGAGATTCAAATAGATTTCAACTGCTGAATTGTGATTTTTGCCACTGACCTTCACATCCAGGGTTACCTTGGCCAGTTTTGTAACCTTGCCAGTGATCGACCTCCCCCCCCCACCCCCAACAAACACACACTCTCTCTCTCTCTCTCTGACCATTGCTGATAAATATTTCTAATCCCAAACATTTACTAATTACTTTACTAATGAGCAATGTTACACGTGTTAATAAATTATGTTAAGTCATGACATGTCTGGGAATTCGAGGGGGGGGGGCAAGAGCAACACATAAAAGTGGAGGGCAGAACAAGATGATGACCCCAATAAAATGAGGGGTCCTAAATAACAAAAGAGACCAGCACATTAAAGAATGCAACTTCATAAACAAAACAAAAAGTGAATATAATAAAACAAAAAGTTCCAAAATTGTTTGCATATAGAGTAGTGATGGTGAGATAGAAGATGGTAATAAGATGTTAATGTACATTCCAGTGTGGACGTGGCCAGTCGTTGAGTGGGTGTTTGCAGTGGGGGAAGGGTGTTGAGTTGTGGTGAGTTAGGCAACAACAGGAAACCCATTGGTTTCTTCATCCAGGAGGAAGACAAGTGTTGAGCTGAGAGGTTAGCAGGTCAGTTCATCCACAAATACACTTCATCAACACATACACATCATTGATAAATACACTTCCCTTTATCGACAAATGCACTTTATCTACGGATACACTTCATCCACAAATACACTTCAGATACATAATACAAATACATAATCAGATTATGATTATTAATCTTCGTTTTGTCTTTCTGTGTATACTTTGCTCCAAGCCACTTTCACTGGTCCATTGGATGTTAAGATTGTATACTCCCCATACCCTCATTCTAAGCAATATTACTTGCACCTTGCATAAATGATATAAATAACACATAATAAATGAATTATCAGCCAAGGCAATTTTTTTAAAATAACTATTTTTTTTTTTTATTACGGTGAAGTTTGTTTTCATTTTTTCAGTAACAATATGACAGCATATTTAAAAAGGTATATTCTTAAAATCAATGCTGAGTGGAACTATTAGGAAAACAGTGTTCAGTTAAAATTTTAATTGATGAATACTTGTTCTATTTTGATATGATGAACCAAACTAACATTTGTTTGTAGCACAAAAATTTCAATCCAAAAAAAAACAAAAACAAAAAAAAAACAGTATTACATAGCTTTTCTGTTAAAATGTAAGATTTTACAGACTTAATATTTCACCATTACATTATAAGAAACAAGTTAAAAAGTGCAATGTAATAAATACAAGTACATTAAAAGTTGCCATAAAAGGAAAAATAATTTTTATTGAGATTCGAATACTAAAACGTTGCACACTTGATTCAGGTTGGAGTAGGATGCCTTTGACCGGAGTTTCCCCAAATTGGATTGCTCACATGCCCCCCACCCCCACTTAAACCAAAGCACATGAAAATATGATTTTAATTTCTAAGAACAGAAGGGCCAATAACTTTAAGTCATGGTATGAATTTTAATATTTTCTTAAATTTCTTAATTAACATTTTAGTTGTTGGAATAAGTGATGAGTCCATTCTGTTTCAATGTTTAAAGCATTGTTATTCTTTGGGGGATGCAAAACTGAGTCAGACAATAGGTGGGGGGGGGGAGCAAGACTTATTCAAACAAGTGGTAGAAGGAGTACAAGACTTAGTCAAACAAGTGGTAGGGAGTACAAGACTTAGTGAAACAAGTGGTAGGGGGAGTGCAAAACTTAGTCAAATAATTGTTTAGGTGCTACAGAGTATAGAAAAAGTTGGGAGACCCAGCCTCGGAGGACACGGGGCCATTTTAAAAAGCTGACATCTGAAGAAATAACTCAGTTTTGAGGATAATTACAAGCAAAGAAACACAAAATTTGTGCGTCTCTTTAAATCACAGCCTATTGTACAATATATGACAAAATCTCCTGAGTATGGTGATAGATAGAAGACCTAAGAAAAAAACCAACAGGTCTACCCTGAAATATTTCCAACCTTGCATACCACTATTAATTTATTTGTATAGACAGGTCACACAACGGTTGGATTTATTCATCCGACAGCCGAGCTGAGTGTGCAAACACATGTTTAAATACTAATTAATTCAACCTGCTGGCCAATTTCAAGGAAATAAAACTGATTTGAAAAAGAAAAAAACATCTCCTAATGTAACTCTTGAACTAATTCTACAGGTTATATGTGATTGATGAGTATTTCAGATTCATGATTTTTTCTTTCAAGATACTTATCCAAACGTTTTCTTTCACGGTACCTATCCAAATGTTTTCTTTCAAGATAATTATCCAAATGTTTTCTTTATAGGTACCGGTACTTATCCAAATGTTTTCTCTAAAGATATTTATCCAAATGGCCAGTGAATCTGGATGATGAATCCAAAGTTCATAAATCCTTTTACCGTACTGTATACAATTAGAGGCATATTAACAAATAAAACAGTTGTTTAATCATGTATATCAGGCATGCACAACGTATGGCCCGCATGTGGCCCACGAGCACCCACTTTGTGGCCCACAAAGTAATGAAATATTCTTTGTTATTATTTTTTTTAAAAATAGCTTTCCCCCTAGCCTAGTATCTTTCGGCCCGTACAATTTTTTCATAAAATATTACGGCCCGCCTTACATTTTGAGTTGTGCATGCCCGATGTGTATAGTGAAACTGTTCATGTTAGGCTATTATTTTCTCAGTCAAGTACTTTAGACGAAAGCAAAAAAGCACTTCTGAAAATGTAATAGAATGTTGACTTGACCAAGCAGCAGTGAAATCAACACTCGTTTATGATACAGTCTGAAACATACTGAGCAACCAGTGCCATCAGCGTTTTTACATTTAAACAGTGTTTCTAAAACCCTTCATTCATTTCCCTCACTGCTGTTTCAATGGCTGGCTTTAATGAATGTAGACCATCTTTGAATTTGGCAGGCACCCCAGTACCCTTGTAGGATGATGCTGCAGCAAGAAGAGCCCCAAGAGCAGCTCCACGATGACAATTCTCACCTGTAAGAACAGAAATAATATTTGTATTAATAAAGTATTCCCCCCAAATTTTTTTTTCTTAAATTCACCAGCATATGTTATAACTTGGAACATTATGTATTATTGTATATCTGTGTGCCACACGGAACAATGTGATGCAGCAAGAGACAGTTTGATATTCACTGATGCAGCCACTGATCACAAAAATTTGCTACCCAAAATATTTTTAGTGATGAGGGTCACTTGAGGGAAAAAATAAATGACATGTTATATCGAGAGCTCTCAAACTTTTTATAATGCTTTGACAAAAAAAAAAAAAAAAAACCTGTGCTGTAGCTCTTAACAGTTACCTTAGATGTTGCACCAAATCATTTAATGCTAAAGTATGGACCAAGTTCCAGAAATCTTTAAAACAAATCTTATTTTCTTAGTTTGTAAGGACAAGGATTGGTTAGCTTGTTAAACTTTATTACTTTTACAATATGTAAAAAAAATAACAAATAATGTATTATGTTTATTATAGATGTTACCAATATTTTGTTATTTTCTCTCTTTTTCTTTCGTTCCTCAAATAAATATAATTTTTTTTTGTAATGAATTTGAATCAAGTTTAGTCACAAATACTTAATACAGAATGTTAACTGTAGGTCAATATCAAAGTTTAACATCTATGCAGCATCACTTGAATTAACATAAGCAGAGGAGAAAGAGAAGATCACCATAATCAGGGTGAACAGCTCTGCTGACATATTACAGAAAGCTATTGTGCTAGGAGTTATTCCCCCTAGTGGACAATGCACATAATTATTGCCAACATTTCATGTCTAAAATTGTACATTATTTAAAAAATTTGAATACTATGATGTTGAATTAAAAAAAGGATTTATTTTAAAAGTTTAATAAAAAATGTTGCATTCCATAACTAAGTTAAGTCAAGTGTGAGAAAATTATTATGTAAGATTCAAAAACAAAAAAAATCTAATGCAAGTTATAAGGCTTTTTCTTTTTTTTAAATATAATTGAGATTCAGGAAAGCGTCCTTTAAGATGTATGTCATTCCCAGGTTGTGTCCCGGGTCATTGAATTAATTTAAAAATTATCACTGTCTTAAAGTTCACACTTTTTTAGGAGCAGCGTAATGTTTTAAGGAGCAGCGTAATGTTTTAGGGACAACGTTCAAATAAACTCATTTAACCCTTGGAAACAATAAAAACTTAATATTCATATGTTCCTATGACTATAAGTAAAATGTCGAATAGAAGTGTGACTACGTCAAGTTTCTAATAAAGTCTCTATTAGGTCTCTATGTGATATGAGCATTTGGCTTCAGCCAAAGTGATAATGCTTGTTTGTTGGATGGAATGTGATATTGCTAGTTTTTTGGATTGAATGTGATATTGTTAGTTTGTTAGATGCAATGTGATAATGCCAGTTTGTTGGATGGAATTCTCACAATAGTTGAATTTTTCCTCATTATGATCTAAAAACTTTGAAAGCAAACAAAAAAAAAATAATATTCCCAAAGGACAGAACGTCTCGTTTGGTTTCACCTCAATAATTTTGTGTAATATGTCCCTTTTCTTTAAATGCACATCCTCTGGCTTTTATGGACTTTAAAGAAAATTCATAATAGGTTTAATTTTTTTAAAGACTGTCCATACGTTTATGGACAGTTGACCGCGTTCATGTCAAGATGAAGCATTGGGAGATTACCTCCAGAGTTAGCATTGGCCAGGACTCCCCCCTCAAAGTCATCATGGAACTCCAGTGCTAGAAACAGGAGGGAGTTGAGCGCCCCTTCAATGTAGCAGGCAGAGCCAAGCAAGGAGACCATGGATTGATACATTTGGAGTCTGGCTTCTGAGCCTTTAGGAATACTGGAGAAGGAAGAAAAATTTTATGCAAAGTTGAAAAATGAGTTATGAGATTTATTTTAGTTTCAAAAACAATTCCACAAGTGGTAGTAGAAAATATTAAAAGGCAACACAGCCAACACACCACCCCCACCCTCCCCCAAAAAACGTCATGTCAGCCATCTTTTCAACATGGTTGACATTAAAGATCTAAACCACATGTAACTTCACTAACTAACGCACATATTCTGGTGAAGGTCTGAGATTACTCTCTTATGACCCCGGCTAGTAAATTGGCTATCAACTCCATCTGTTGAGCTGAGCCATACAACATTTCCCTCACAAAGGATCCTCCAACCGCCCTGGCTTCCCCCGGGAGATCTAGTGCGGGACACTCCGTCAACAGATGTTCTAAGGTCTCTGGGGCCAGGCTGCAGTGCCGGCAGGNTGGGGCCAGGCTGCAATGCCGGCAGGTAGGATCTCTGTTGTTATCCAACCTCCAGAAATATGTGCGCAAGGGGCAGTGCTCGGTGCGCATCTGCGTCACTAGACTCTGCGATCTGCGACCTAACCCCCACCATGGGTCTTGTTTGCTAGGAGTAGGCAAGTTCGAAAAGACGCCTCTGGCGGTCGTGTTGTCAGCCCATTGCCTGTACCACTTCCTGTCCGCTTTACATGATTAGCTTTTCTCATCTGAGTGGAGACCATGTAATAAACTAAGGCAATCCTTTAGGGGGGAGGGGGAGTAAACCATGAGTAAAAAAAAATAAAAATAAACTCAACAATTTAAGCCTGCAGACAGGAGACATCTCGGCCAAAGATTAAATGAGCCTCTTTTTATGCAAATACAACTGCAGCCTTACCAGCTAAGCTTCACCGGCCAGAATCCAACAAAAATAAAATGAACGGCACTTAAGCAAGAGTTAAATCCTAATTTTATGAACATGTACCTTGCAGAGGCATCAAGTTTTTTCAAAATTCTATCCCGATTTCCTGGCCCTCCAAGGATGGAGTTTCCAAGAGCTTGCATAACCTGGAAAACAACACCGGGGACATCAGATATCAGAAGGGATATAACAAATTAGAAACAGGAAAGGGTATGAAATGGGGTGATTACAGCAGTGGTTCTCAAACTCAAACTTTAAAAAAAACTCTTAGCTCACTTTAACTTTCAATTACCTCTGGTGCTTTTAACCCATTGATTAAATAACCCAATCCTAATTGTGGGCATCTTCCCAAATCTCCAAATACCGAGTTTGTACTACCTTCTACTGTGTTCAACTCATTCAGAGCACCTAAAATTCTACTGTGCTCAACTCATTCAGAGCACCTAACCTTCTACTGTGTTAACCTCATTCAGTGCACCTAATTTTCTAAATGTGTTCAACTCATTCAGAGCGCCTAACCTTCTACTGTGTTAATCTCATTCAGTGCACCTAATTTTCTAAATGTGTTCAACTCATTCAGAGCGCCTAACCTTCTACTGTGTTAATCTCATTCAGTGCACCTAATTTTCTAAAAGTGTTCAACTCATTCAGAGCACCTAACATTCTACTGTGTTAATCTCATTCAGTGCACCTAATTTTCTAAATGTGTTCAACTCATTCAGAGCACCTAACATTCTACTGTGTTAATATCATTCAGTGCACCTAAAATTCTACTGTGTTCAACTCATTCAGAGCACCTAACATTCTACTGTGTTAATCTCATTCAGTGCACCTAATTTTCTAAATGTGTTCAACTCATTCAGAGCGCCTAACCTTCTACTGTGTTAATCTCATTCAGTGCACCTAATTTTCTAAATGTGTTCAACTCATTCAGAGCACCTAACATTCTACTGTGTTAATCTCATTCAGTGCACCTAATTTTCTAAATGTGTTCAACTCATTCAGAGCACCAAACATTCTACTGTGTTACAGTCATCCAGAATGCCTAACAACCAAACGTCCATAGTGCTTGGGTGCCAGTATTTCCTCCTATGCTTGAGAGAACATTGTTTATCTTAATGAAATATCTCTATTGCTTTCATCTTTTTTAACAACAGAGTTATAAGTGTTAAAACTTTAGCAATGCTTTCAAAGCTCTTACAGCCTCAATAAAAAATTTAAAAAAGAACCACAAGAATGAAATAATCAGAAAGACTGATGTAGAATAATATATTGAAATTGATACAGAAAATTAATCATTCATTTTAAAATAACTGTGAATCTGAGTTTAAAAATGATTACTAGCACATTGGTCATAGTTGTGATAGTGACTATCGTGATAGGGGTCAGCTTGGGAATATGAACCAATGACCAACGTCAGGTATTAGACCTCAAAGATAACTCTATACATAACCTTTTTTTAACCTGCTTATTAATCATAATTCAGTTTTATACTTAAAACACTGATTTAAATAAAACAAAAAAAAAAAGGACTTTTCAATTTTTGATAATTAATTTTTATGGCTGAAATAAATGTGTCTGAATCAAGTTATGCCCCTCTCCTTATATAAATGTAGGTTACACAGGAGAGGGTTAACAAAACGCATTGGCGCACCCCTCCCCTCCCCCCACTATTGAAAAAACAGATTTTAGGTAGACATAAATGAACATTTATTCGATAATAACGCATTAAACCCTCTGAATTATTCATGGAAGAATATCACAACAGGACAGACTCTGCTTACCACCTGCCAGGGACAGACTTTGCTAACCACCTGCCAGGGACAGACTTTGCTAACCACCTGCCAGGGACAGACTCTGCTTACCACCTGCCAGGGACAGACTCTGCTTACCACCTGCCAGGGACAGACTTTGCTAACCACCTGCCAGGGACAGACTTTGCTAACCACCTGCCAGGGACAGACTCTGCTTACCACCTGCCAGGGACAGACTCTGCTTACCACCTGCCAGGGACAGACTTTGCTAACCATCTGCCAGAAACAGACTCTGCTAACCACCTGCCAACAAACGACCAACTCACCCAGCATCCAAAAAAAAAAGTCAAAAAAAAAATTTAAAAAAAAAAAAAAAAAAAAAGAAATTTTTTTTTACCTCAGACTTCAAATCCTTGCCATTGATAACAGCATGCAGCAGGCGCGTGTAGGTGTCCACGAACGAGACCAAGGAGGGCACGGGGTGAGTCAGCTTGACAAAGTCCACGACATTCTGCACGCACTCTTTCTCAGACTTATGGGCATTTCTTATGATCCAGGGAATGGCAGGAACGAGGCTGCCAACAACTGCCAGTTGGTGGTCTGGATTGGATTCAAGCATCTTTTTGGACCTAACCCAAGAAAGAAAGCAAGACATTGGCATATTTTTAAAATAAATTCAACTGTAGCTTTGTATATTGCAACTGTTCTTCTTATATACTGAATTGTCTACCACTTGTGTTACAGTCTTCGTAACTATGTGGAGGTTCTCTGTTTTTTGCTATTCTTGGCTCAAGCAAACACATGAGTCTCAATGCTTTCTAAAATGAAATACCAAGTACTGTTTACCAAGTACTGTTTTCGCACACTTTTATTCAACTACTCACAGAATTACATCAAATATTAGATCACAAAAATCAGTACAATAGAGTAGCAGAATAATTGTGACACATCACGAGGCAGCTCAAGTAATATTTATATCCTTGGACAATAGATGAAGACAGACTCCTTCGTAACAATTGAATTTTACCTCTGAAACGACACATGATCATGCCACCTTCATACTTATTTTGTACCCTTGTCCGAAATATAGTAGTCCTCGAGCCTATTAAAACATAGTCTAAATACCAAGACGTTTCATCAACCAAAAAGAAGTCTTTGGGGGAAATGTAATCAAACATCATTATTTCCCCTTCCAAGGAAATGTATTCTTTAATAGTTGAAAGATTATTTCTTTGAGTATTTTTTTTTGGTACATTTTGAGTCAAATCAAAACTGATTTTGTCATTTCTTTTTCATGATATAAAAATATTTTAATTTAATTTCCAGTCATGGTCTTTAAGAAAACTGTTTTATGACATAAATTTAATAATCAATAAATTATAAATATAATAGGATATAGACTTTCCTGAAGCCAATCCATTTGTTTCCTTGTTTATTATCTACATATGCAGAGGGAAATAGAAAATGTTGTTACTAACCTATTTTCAGCGAATTCAATAACTTCATCTGCTGTCTTCTTTTCTCCTGAATCTGTCCAAGCTCTGAAAAAACTTCTGTGAAAAGATTCTGCATATGTGTCGTTGTGGGTGCCAGGAGTGGTCATGAACTGGACATAATCCTCAAGCACGGCAGCCCTCACCAACCTCTCAGGTTTGACAAGGTCATGGTCAAATTTATTCATAGTCTGCAGTTCATGCAGAGCCATCACAGCATTTAGGGTGTTGTCGCCTGCCTTCATACCTGCAATGACAATGTAACTATTGTGCTGCTGTTAAAAACATGGAACATTTAAAATATTTTTCTAATATTTATAAAAGCAATGGAACATTTAAAATATTTTTCTAATATTTATAAAAACAATCGATACGCCTATAAATGGCTTCTGAGTGAGTTCCAATGCCAATAATCTGACACCAGTACAAGATCATTGCAAGTCTATTTGACAGCCCTAATTAAAATTAATTTATCACATTTCTACATCAGTTTAGAAATTAGTAAAAGGTTCAAGTAAATTAAACTTTGATATCCCTCCAAACCTGTTGTTGGTTCATTCTGGAATTTACAAATGTCTTTTGTTTGTTTTCATATTTGAAAAGCTTAATTTTCATATCAACTTAAAATTATAAAAGTGATAAAAATTATTAAAATTTTAAAAGGAACAATTCATCTCTTTCCATAAATTTGAAAATAAATGTTCTACATTTATTCACCATTAACTTTTACAGTTATCACAAACTTTATTTATAGATTAATATTTGTATGCAACCTCTCTACATGAAGAAGTCAGTGCTTGGACATAAAGTGAAATATAAATTACAAGAATCCTACCTTGATGATAATGATTGTTTTTATTGCTTCCATTCCAGAACTGCAGCTTATCATGTAGTATCACATTACCAATCAGGGCCTTGCCACTAGAATTTGCACCTCTCCCACTGCCATCTAGAAGAAATAAGAGAAAAATAAATTGTGAGCCTAGAGACATGCAGCACAAAACGGAGAGAATTAAATGAGGCCATGCAGTAACAACAGAAATGGCAGCCATGCCTACTATGTCATCCTTTATCACTCCCCACCAGCTATTTCCCCTCACTGCTTTAAAGTAATAGCTCTCCTATTAAAGAAAACCCAAGGAAAATGCTTTGCTAAGGTTGTAAAAGCTGAACTTTACTCTTCCCTTCACAGATGCGTTGTTTACATTGTACTATCTGAAAATATTGTACTCACCAACTGCAGATAACCTTAATATAGATGAAGGGTGTTTCCCATGGGGCGCAACATAGCCTGAAAGCCATTGACCATAGTCATGTTTGATGTCTGACGGTTCATAGTACCAGTGTACGGGCATAGCAATGGCGTCAGCCACAAACAGCCCCCAAACTGCTGCTGCTTTTGCATTTTTCACCGGTTCTGATATTGTTGGCTTAGACATCCCTGGTGCTTCCCTGTAACATATGTGTGAATAGAAACTATATGAGGACACAGAAACCAACATCCGTTTTGAAAATTAACTCCAAGAACTGAAGAGAAAGATAGACAAAAAAGTGTACTTGCAATATTTATAAACCCAAGAAAATTACATATAAGGCATGGTATTTTTTTATTGATTAAAGAGATAAATGGAAGTTGATAACATGAAACAACTCATGTTAAGAGAACTTGCACATAAAAGGAATAATATAATTCATTGGTTTTAAAATTTTGGATCGCCTGGCAAGGGAAAAAAATTTCAGAATTCTATAAAAAAAATATTTGGAATAAATTCACTGACAAATAGAACTCCATCTTAGTTAACAAAAATAATAAATCCAGAAAGTTTGAAGGGAATTTAGATTATTGAGTGTAAAGGCTAGCCATATTTTTTGAAAATCAAAAATAAGATGTAAATGTAGTATAAAATACTTTTATCATTGAGATTCGTTGCTTACTCTTTTATTAATGCTTCAGTTTTTAGCACAGCAGCATCAGAGTGTGAGTCTTGACTGTGATCACGTCTGAATGAACGTCCTGGTGTGAGTGATTGGGATGGAGGTTGACTAAGGAAGAGGAGCGCAAACACAGAAGCAGCAGATGCTGTCACTGTAACGGTCAAGAATCTACCGGACACAGCTTGTGGCTAATAATTTTCAACAGGATGTTAGTAAAAAAAAACATATGTTTGGATTTTGTGTATTAAAAATTATTTGAAAACTAAGAATCAATTTGGGACATAATTTTTTATTAAATAATTGCACTTATGTTTGGATTAAAATTTATCTATCAAGTTCTATTTGTTTCTCAATTATTATTTATCAGGTTCTATTGACATCTCATTAATTATTTATCAAGACATAAATATTTAACATAAAAAAATGTAAAGCATTGATTTTGAATCTGATTAATAATAGACCTTATATGAATTACATTGTGCAAATTTAGTTTGTGGCATCAGGTACAGTAAGGAATATTAGTAAAAAAGATAATTCTTAACCTGCCTGAATACAGATATATTGACTTCCTAGTGTGACATTGGCTGGAGACAAGGTGCTTCTGTACATACAAAAAAAAAGCACATTTTAATTAACATAATAATGAAAATAATGTTGAATATGCAAATCTGAAAAACTATTATTATGACTACTTTGATTATTCAGATTAATATGAATGAGTATGATGTACACCAGTGTTTCACAAAATGGTGGTCTGCACAACATGAGACCAAAAAAATGTATAGAGCTTAAATAAAGTTTAACAGCCATTGCCATAACAAAATAACTTGTCATGGCACAGTAATGGCCAGCATTAAACAGTAAAAGTAAAGAATTAAGAGAGTTTCTCACATTGGCTGATCAGGGATTAGAAAATGTTTTAAAAGAATTTTAAGGTTAAACAAAAGCTAAGAGTTAATAGATCTGGCATGGGTCAGAGTGCTGTGGGAAAAATGTCCACTGGTAAGATAAACTATAAAGTTTGGTAAACACAAATGTTAACAACATTGTAGTAATAAGAAATGGTAAAAAAACAGCTTCATAATAAACAGATAAAGATAAATACTGTATGTTGCTCAAGAATAAGAATACAAAAGGAAATAGAGCTCAGTAAAAAAAAACCTCGGAGATATCCTTTTTTGTTGCCGGACGTCAGATCTTACTTCTGGCAACAACAAAGGATCTCTCCAAAGTTTTTTTACTGAGCTCTGTTTCTTGTTGTATTTTCATTTGTCTTGTTCGCTGAAGAAGGCTCAAAGCTGAAACATTCATATCTGGTTGTGCTGTCTATTGATTCACGCATCAACATTCTTGTACTACTATTTCATTTACACTGCTTGAATGCAGTCCTTCAATTATTATCAAGAACAAAACTAAGACTAACAACTGTATTCCTTATCTTGATTCTTAATGATTGTTTTTCAATTTAGTCTCGCCTTTGCTTTGCTGATTTTTTTAGACCTTTTTTAATTTTGGGGAATAATTTTTATTGATTTTTGATAAGTATATTAATCTTATAGATATTATTTTATTTCTATTGTACTACTATCTATAATGTTCATTCAATGAATAGCCATGCTAATCATTATTGCATAGATAAATAATGAATATATTTTTTTATAATGAATAATGGGATTATTCCAAACAACAACAATAAAGTGATAAAATGGACATTCAGAAATTTGTTGGCTGATTCAGACTCTCAAAAAGAAAATTTCAAATAACATTTTGTAATTAGATAGGGCGCGGGGTTAAGAAAATGCTTGCGGAGCACTGCCATGATTGTGTTAAAAATTTTTTTGTGTTATGACACCTCTTTTTTTTCTCAAGTGTATCTGTTTAAGATCATCATGCTGGCTGTTACCTGGGAATAGCAGCTCCCTGCAAAAATCAGCCCTTTACTTAAGTCCCAAGACTTTGTGCTAATCTTTAAAACGTTTTTGGGAGGTATGGCTTATCTTAACGCAGTTTACTATTTAAGTAAAGGCTGCCACATCTTGTAGAAGTTAAAACACTTGATAATCGGCAGATAAGGTACATTTTTACTACAAAATAAAATAAAAATGCTTTTGTTACAAATGAACATAATAATGTAATAATAAAATATATATATTTTTTAATACAGATGAGAAAAAGCAAGAAGGTTTCAGACTGGTAAAACTTGATCTGCATCAGGGAATGGATCACTATTCCCCATTTGTGGCATCATCTCACCGCAGTTTATTAATAACCCCCAATACCACACAAGATACTATCAAGCAGCCATATCTAAAGACGAGGCCAATGGTAATTTTTTGATGCAGTGTAACCTGGCCTAAGCCTAGGTCCATGGTCATCCTAGGTACACTGCTGTGGTGTACACAGGCCTAGGTCTATAACTTTGCTAGGTACACCCCCATGGTGTACGCAGCCTCTCCATTTCTAATGTAATTTATATATAAATATAACAACTTTGAAATTTTTAGAGAAGTTGTAAGTAAGTGAGTGTCTTACTAAAACATTTAGTAACATAGTTTACTACACTACACTACACATAGTCATATACATTAGACTATTGACTATAATCATATTAACAATGTGTCTAACCAGGCAAACAAGACCTTAGTCACCCTAATGTTCTTAAGGCAAAACCTAAAGATCTGCAACTCCTGTGTGAAAGAAAAAGCCTAAAAAGCCTTAGTCTGGCCGCTTTTAGATTATGCATCTTCAGTTTGGTAAACATTCACTCAGAGAAGCATCGACAGGTTAGAGCCAGTCCAGCAATGGGCAGCAGCATTGTCCTGAACCGCTACAGCAACACCTTTGGTTTTAGTGTTGGCAGCATGCTGGAAACACTGGGCTGGTCCACTGCTCCAACTCCAACTTCAAACAGAACTCTTCCCTCTCTCCCCCAGACTGGCAGGGACGAGGCCATGACAGGCAGTTCCTGCTTATAACAGCAAGAACTAAGTACAGGAACTGCTCATTCTTGCCAAGGCCAGAGTCAATCAGGGACTGGAACAAGCTTCCAAAGGCTAAAGGTTAAAGGAACAGTTGAGGCGACAACTCTTGACTCAGGCCTTCCAATCCCAGTTCCTGAGTGATAACTTCGCTGTGCAGCCCTTCAATCAGTGAAATATCCTCTTTTTCTTTTACTAGACTGTATAAGACTAAGACTTTTACCAGTCACACAAAAACATTGCTAATCCCTTCTACTCTACACTATACATTGTCATTGTCTACATACTCAGGGCCAGGCCTCAGCCCCAGGAATAGAAGAAAACGAATCACGATACAATAAAATATAAGCCCATGCTATAACTATATTATATACTAATATTAATATATTGAAATCTATTCATGTTTTGATAGTAAATATAACGAAAAATGGGAGCGACAATATATTTATCATACCGCCAGTAGCGCCGTAGAGAAGCGAAAGGTGTCAATAACTTTTTATAGACCATTGCTATTTTTACATAACACTTATAAATACGTTTTATATAACTTTAGAAAAAGGAAATCGGAAACATTTAAAAACGAAAGTAAAAAAATGCAGCAAATAACATTTCATTTTTTGTTCAAATGTAAACAAAATAAAATATAGTATTTAAATAATATGTCTAAGCATTAATAGATTTTTGGTATGGCATATTTTATCAAAGAAATTTAATTAAGTTAGGCATTCTACGAAGTTTGATGCTCTCCTGTAATTATGAAGAACTTCCTGCGTCAAAATGGCGTCTTACGTGTTTTGCTGTTGTAGAGATGGGACCTTCGGGCCTGGTCATGTCCAGTTAAAGGATCTTCCATCTGTAAAGCTTGATACTAGCTTTATGGGCAAGTTAATTCATTCTGAAAATATAAATTAAGTTATACACGTTGACTCACACGTTTAATTCTTTTCAAAGCATTTTCGGACAAAGCAAAACACGACTCAGACGTGGGTCGACTCTTCTTACACTTTAAATTTAAGTTAACTTAACTAACTTTACTCAATTTACTAAGTTACTAGTCTAGTGTTGCAGATAACAAAGCTCAGGATTAGAGTGCAGACCGACTTAAAACTGTTGTCAGGATCAAATAACTCAGTTAATTGAGACCTCTATTATTTGCTTTGTTGTAAAAGGATATAACAAATAGGCTGTGTCTACACGCGCCGGACGTCTATCTCCCGCACTTTTTGTCCGGCGACCAAGTCACATGACCGCCGTAACAAAGTGGCGAGAGATATATTGTCCGTCAGCCTTGTCACATTAACTATTGTTAATTTTAAAATCTATTTCTGTACCAAGTAATGTACTGAGTATCTTGCATGCAAATAATAGACAAAAACTTAAGTGAAAGTGGCTTGTAAACATTTTTTTTTAGTTTGTTATTTGAGTTTGTGCACCAGCAATCCATAAAATAAATTAGGTGCCAGTGTGGAGTAGGCTTTCACCAGATATAAAGTTTGCGATCAACGGTAAGATTTTTTTCTTTCTTAAGGCCGGTCAAAACGCTCTCAACTTTAGTGGAATTAGTGGAAAAAACTACGTTTACATTGATATAATGTTACAATAACATCATAATTATTGAAATTAACTATTGAAGCTTAATTATATTCATTTATTATTCCAGTATATCAAGTGCATATTTTATTATATTTTTTTTCCATAGGCATAGATGATAGTTGTTTGAAATTTCCTTTGTTTGCTGCTTTTGCAGTAGAGGCGATGACTTAGATACTTTGGTCAAAAATGTAAACATTTTTTTTAAAAATAAACCAATGGCACAGTTGAATAGAGCTAATTTTAAACATAATTATAACACCAAAATCATATTTTTAGCTGTTGTAGTTTTAAAGTTATGAATTTTTAAAGTACGACTTGGTTTGTCATTTTTTAACATAGACTGCATCTCCACATTCTGTGACCTCATTCCACTGATCGCGTCATGCGCAATGACTATATAGTTTATATAAGGCAATGCATTCCCTTATCACTAAAATACTGTTTAGGGTCGACTTATTTTAAACTTTCAACTTTGGCACATGAATAATTAATAAAAGCTTTCCCTGACCAATGGTTTAATAGCTTTTGCACACGGCAAACTCTTATGAATGAAACTCTGAGATAGTACTACGACGTAGCCGTTATGCAAGTGGCTGTGAATGGTTGCCAATGACAACGTGTTGCACAGGGAAAATTCTGATCATTTATAATATGGACTCTGCAGGGTTTTTAAAGCTCAAATTAAAACATTTCCAGTTTAAATGTCTTCAAAATGCATTCTGAAACACAAAATATAAAATATTTTGATGTATATAGTGGTAATAATTAAATATTTCCTAAGTATCGGCAACTTCCGCCATTAAAAAGGGGGCGTGGCCCACGCCATGTCGAAATTAGGCTGAGCCACCTTATGGTGATATGGGTCAATGTGACAAGTGTAACAAACGTGAGACACGACCTACATCAATGAAACTTGGCACAGATATAGATCAATATCTAATGCTCATACAGATTTAATCAAAAAGGACCTTATCTTATTATTTCACAAAAAATTTTGTATGCGAAGATGCCTTATATATACCAAAGATTTTCAAAATAAAGGTCGATTGAAAAAAGCAAAATAGCTGGCTAGAAATGTAGGCCAAGATGTCTTCCAAATTATAAGGCCGGAAACGGAACTCAAATATATGTGCAAAGAACTAATTTAATAATAAATAGACACACACATCGGAAAATTAAAAACTCGGATTTTTCGGCGCCGACGCCCATTTCCGATACAAAAAAAATAGTAGTCTCCCTTGTTTCATCGAAGTATCTAGGCGATGACTTTTAGGTCTATATTTTACTCTGCATTAAAAACAGCGGTAAATGTTTAGAAGGCTACCCGGGGTTTCTGCGATCTTGGTTGACAAAACCAGTTGATTCTATTTCTATCACTTACTCTAAACCTAAACAAAATCGATGCCTTTTAGGTACTTTGACACAAAATTTAAATATTGTCTGATTGCCATGAATTATACATCATTTTAATGGTCTAGCTATACTATAACCTTTATAACAACACCAATTTCATCTTTCTATCTTTTATAGAAGTGGAGTTATGATTTTTTTGGTGATTTTTTACAACCCCCTTCTTTATCTTTGTATTTAACCGAAAAAACTTGTGACCCACTTTCCAAATTTCTGCCTTATTTTGCCCCAAACTTTTTTATTTTAAAAGATAATGTTAAGAAAAACATAAGCAGAAAAGTAGGAAAAATTAACATTTGTAAAGGAAAAAACAAAAAAATAACATGTTTATTGTATTTTAATGAATAATGTGCTTACATTTTAAACCAATTCTTATATTTATGAAAGGTAAGTAAGAAGAAAGGTTGGTAGCTGGGTGGCCGAGCGGTCTAAACTGTCTCAAACGAAATAGCTGGTGGTCTGGAGTTCAATCCCCACCAAAGCCATCCCAAGCTTGGGCCCACCTACCCTGAGCAATCGGAACCTGCCGTTGCTGTCTAAGAGAAGGCAAACTCTGAATTTAAAACCAGGAGCCAGAATGATCAACAAATTGATCGTGGGCACCTCAAATATAAGAAGAAGAAGAAGTAAAAGATTTCATTTTAAATTGTTACAAAATATTTAAAAACTTCTCATGAAACTACTGTTGCTGATGAACATGATAATATAAATATAGTATAAAATATTTTACATTAAAATGGGAGAAAAGAAAAACGATCATATCCCCGGTATTGATCCTCAAAACATAATACAAGATCTGCCCAACTGAACTTCGTTCGGAATTATAAAAACTACTAGCCGTCCGGCGGTATGTCACGTGACATACCGCCGGACGTATATCTTGCGCACTATTTGGACGTGTAGACACTTCGCAACAAATAATGGTCTAATGACTAATGTGTTTATTAACGTTGCCATGAATTAATTAATTAATTAGGGTTCAGGTTAGGTTTAGGGATACATTTAGGTAGGGACCTCGGTATGATCCGGTAAGTGCCGAAAACCGGGTATCGTGATTTCGTTGTCAAAATGGTGACCTCCACTTTTTAATTTACCGAGGGTAGTGTTGTTTAGGATTATTTTTGCTAAAGTTAGTTTTTTAATAAATTCTACTTCTGCCCTCAACTTAAAGCAGACATGTTTCTTGTTCATTTGACACTTTCCTTTTAGAAAAAATTTGATGGTTTGACTTTGAAAATCAATGGTAAATTGAAAATTAATGGTAAATAATAGCTAATTTGACTCATTCATAATTTTTTGTGGAAAATATAAGTTTAAAAAAAGAAAATACCAATGTTAGATGAAGGCATAATTAACAACATATCCAAAATTCGTGAGGTTAGGACCAGTGCATGGGTGAGAAATTTTTGCACAAAAGTTTTGTCACGTGTCCCAAAATTACCTATTATGGATAATGAACGTTTTTGTAGTAAGTAGCTCGATTTACACTGGATATCCAGCATATTACCCACTAATAATATTTTAAAACAAAGCAACAATTTAATAGCTCTAATTAGGTATTCTAAATGAAAATTTCATAACGAAATTAAATAAAATTGAACTATTCCCCTAAATAGAGCTTGACTTCATCAGAACAGAACCACAAATTTTAACTCTCTATCTCCAACAATAAAAAAGTTATTAATTTTTAAAAAATCGGGAACAGGGTCAATTTTTAGAAGCCAGGAAAGTGTAGTTTTGACACCCGCTATCTCCTAAAATAACTAAGTTAGAACTTTCAAATCTCTTGCCCACACAACCAGTTATACATATAACAAGCTCAATTTTTTTTAGGGTTGTCACGAAAATGTAAATATATTTTTTATTCATCCAAAAACGAGCTGAAGCCCAATTTTACAAAATATTAAAATGGAGACAAAAAGTCGATTTTAGTTCATTTTTAAAAAATCATAAAAAATCAATTAGTTAAGTTATTATAAATATACAGGAGTCAAGTAAAAGGTAATTTAAAGCACAACAATGTGAAATCATCAGGTAAAGGTGAAAACAAGAAAATAATTTACATAAATTATTTCAGCAAGGCATGTACACAAAAATTGAGAATTTCAAACATTTTTGAAAATTCATAAAAAATTAACGAAGCAAGATATCTTTACGAATGTTACACAGTATTGTAGAACATGTTAATCTTTTCAATAATAAAGTAACAGACTTAGGTTTAGGAAACAAAATTCTTCTCCACATATATTTTAAAAATGGGCATTTTTGCACTGAAAATTTATACTTTCCAGCACCTTAAAAAATGTTCGTAATTAGATATACCCGGTATATATATCTATAAAAGTTATGGAAAATCTGTAGGAAACATTATTAACTATGAATTAGTAATGAAAATCAATTTTCTGCCTTTATTAGCACGTCTGTATGGATTTATTAGTCAGTTTAGAGACATTTCCCTGCACTGGTTTAATGAGACATTTCTGTAATCTGTTCTTGTACACCAACAACCTGGGAGAAGAATATTTTATTTAATTTGTACCGTATTAATTAAATTGTATTTAATTTATATTATTTAATAGTAATGGTTATCAACTTAGCATTTATGATCATGTCATTGCTATCAATATAATAACAAAATGCAAATATAACTAATGATATTACAAGCGGTAGTACTAACCTGTACTGTTGACTGTTGTCCAGTGTTAGTGTTGTTACACGGCATGTTTTGGCAGTGGTCTGGGTCTTCTCGTTCTTTTGTAATGGAATGGTATCTGTCTTAAGTTGTTTTCAGTTTCAACCACTGAAATATGAAATGTTAAAATTAAAACTCAAAAGTTTACAAGATTTTAACTGCCTCCTATTTGCCCTAATTAATATGAATACTGCATACACGGTATATAATTGATAACGTTAGTAAAGTAAAGGAGTAATTTTTTCAGTAAGGTTAATTTTGGAATTCGACATTTACGAAAGGGGGTGAAAGACTAGGTATCGGTAACTAATTTTTAAAACTAGCTTTATAACTTAGAGAAATAAGAATAATTAACATTGCATCACTTTCTTATGCCTCATACCATATACATTTATTTATAAAATGGATTAACAATCGAATTTCTAGTTTAAAAATGAACTCCACTAAAATTAAAGCATCCCGTTCACCCTCGCAACAATAATGCTTCGACCCAACATGAATGCTTCGCTTGAATCGGCTGAATTATCCGAGTTTAATGATTTACTGCAGTTTCCAAACAAATTGCATAGCTACAAAATAAATACCATTAAATATTTAAACATTTCATTGAACTAATTATATTTTCCTTTTCTTTCTCCGCTATCTTAAAATAAATACAGATGATTTTAAAATAAAGCTTGATCGTCATTTTTCACTAGGCGTAAGAAACACGCATTAGTTATCGATAAGCCCACACTAAATTAACAAATGTATGCAATAAAAAGCTTTCTATATAATTTAAACATTCCCAAACTAAACAATAATGTTTAACTTACCTATTTCAGTTTAAAACCCACGAAAAGGCACTAAATTTAAGAAGATCTTAGATAAAATTAGTCATCGCCTTCTGGTTTCACAGATCAGAGTTGGCCGTGGCGGGGTCGATTTGCACTTTTTTTTAGCAGACGGCGTTGACTTGGTTCCAAACCTTTACGCGTTTACCCCATAAATGGGGCGTTCACAAAACTATAACAGTTTTATAGTAAATTGGATTACCTTTCTGAATATATATTTTTGAGAGCCGTAAAGTGATTTTTTCACATAGAAAACGCAATTTTTGTGTTAAAATCAACGTTATTTAGCATTAATTTACAGTTTACAGCTCCGAAAAATACATCATATTAAAGAACTACTTTTCTACTTTCTAGATCAGTTGTTACTGAACGCACCTGTATAAAGGAGCTTTAGCGTAGCGAGCTGGCGCGACCCAACCAAAAAAAAAAAATTTTTCTCCCCGAAGCGTAATTTTCGCCGGCTCATTTAGAATACCTACTCTAATTACTTTTATCTGATGCTTATATTTTGAGTGGGGAAGTGGGATAAATAGCCCTATCCTTATTGTATGATAACTAATAGTATAAATAATTAAATAAATATATATATATATCCATCCAACCTATAAGCCTAGTATAGTATAGCCTATAGGTCTACTACCATCCCAACTTATTATTCCAAGACCTATTAATAAACAATTAACTATTATAGTTAATAATATTTTAGGCCATGTAATCATATTTTATTATTTAATGGAAATTATGATTCTTAAATTTTAAAATAAAAATGTTTAAAAAAAATATTCACTTACCTTTGATATTGAAATATCCTGAATTCACTCACAAATCACAATATTCCACAAGAATCTTATATAATCCTCAGTATTCTTACTTAAAGAAATAACACACTTTCTGATACAGTAATCCAAGAATTTCTTAAGCTTTTACTAAAGAACAATCATAAAAGCTTGTACTTACCTCAAGCAAATGACTTAGAACTTATTTTAGTTTCTATCAACAGCCAAAGTTGATACATGTTGATTTGTGAAACAAGATTACTAATTTTTTGGTCATATTCAAATGGGACTAAAATACATACATAGAAAATGGTAAAAAAAAAAGTATAATCGTCAATTTTATATAAATGAATCAAATAATCCCTGTATTATTTGTTTATACTGATAAAAGTTAAACAATTCCACAGAAAATTTGAAATTAATATCTAAAGAATATTATTATTATTATTAAATTAGGGAAATTTTAAACATTTATATTTAAAAAATATTAATTAATTAAATACAAGTAAGTGACGAGTCAGCATATTTTATTCATTTTAATAAGGAAAATTATCAAAATTAAAAATATTTTTTGCGGAATATTAACAAAAACTAAAAGTGTATTTTGTGGCTTTATTTAGAAGAACTTATATTTAACTGTGTTCCCTCAAAATATCATATTTTTGTCTCATTTTATAACAAAGTTATAGGCATACAAACAATAGCAATATGAGGGTGACGAAATGTGGAGGAAAATCCCATACTGAAAAGGGGGTTTTGAGGTCCTTACTAAAAAATTCATAACTTTTGAACCACTTGAGCTAGAAAGTTGATCTTGGTGTTTTTGTAAACCATTATATGTGCTCTATACGGCTGTAGTATTTTTATGTTCTTAAAAACGTTTTGAAATTTTAATTTAGTGCCTAATTTAGGATTCAGGTTAGGTTTAGGGATAAATTTACTTAAATTTAGTGACAGAATTAACTGGTATTCTCAACCAAGATGGCGGCCAATCATGGCATCCTCTCTCTCAACATTTACCAAAAACTGTACAAAAAAAGTCTGAACCACATAGTCTAGATAAACCTAGGCAGGTAAAGTCATCTTTGTTTGTACTTCAATTAATACAGTTATTAGACACATCTGTAAAGGAAGGGTGACCATCTTTCTCAATCTCAAAAGTTATCTGTAGGGAAAAAAATAACCATTTATTAACTAAATTGACTCTTTGGGATCAAGAAATTAGTCCTAAATTTAGTAGAACAAAATTTTTCATTATTATAGAATCTAAAATAGTTTATTTCAGCTAAACGCTTTAGATATTTGATGTGCTTGTTCTTCCTTTTATAACAGGCAATGATGTTGTGATTGTTAAGAATGGTCATAGGATATGTGGAAATGGTGCTGCTCTAGCCAATGCTCCCATAGCTCAAAATAAAGCATATTACGAGATAAAGATTCAGTGCACAGGTAAGCTTTATCATTGTGGATTACACGCTCTACCATTTATGGTCTTGATTTCAAACACATATATTTGTTAAATCTCTAGGGACGGAAGGGCCGATCTATTGACCCAATGTGGACAGGCAAGAAAGACAAAAGTCAGAACCCTCTGCCCAATAAATTGAGCCTAGTGATTGGCTGGCTTGGCATTATACCAGCGAATCAAATTTATTCTTATGTATTCCTGCAAATCCTCGCATTGTAATGGTGGCATTCGTATATGTTGAACTAGATTTATTTCAAATTTGTGTGCAGGAATTTTTTTTTGTGTGTATAGTTATATCGGGAAATTCGAACATGTCTGATAGTGACTCTGATCAAATTGTGCTTAGTGACATAGTGATTCTGATTTCTCGCTGTCTAGCAGTGAATCTGACTCTGATGAAAACAACCAGGAAAGTAATGAAGACAATCAAAATGATTTTGGTTACCGTACGATAATGTTGTGAATCCTTGGTTTAGGATTAGGGGTTCTAAATTGGATAGAGATGACCCCTATGAATTTTTAGAAAAAATAGAGCCTATAAATATGCCTCATGGGATAAGCACCCCAGCTGAGTACTTTATGCTAATTTTTACACAAAATATCTTTTAAATGTTTGTGAGAGAGACTAATAATAACTTATTAGTATGCAGACAACTTTTTCAGTAACACACAGCTCAAATAAACCATAACTGGGTGTACAATGGTGAAAAGGACTGCTCTGTCTGTAACAACGGAAGAGTATCCTGCGGGCAGGAAAAGGAGTAGTGCTAGGGGCGTCTGAAGGGCCTCCATGGGCCTTGTTTCCCAAAACACATGTGTTAGGATCTATTCATGCTTCATCCATCAAAAAATTCACACAATTTACAGCGATAAGTCATGTTTATTCTCAGATTTAAAAAAAATAATTCATGCATAAATTATGCAAATCAGGATGGCTCATTTGCATAAATGTTGAGATTTCAGTTTGATTTATACGTATTGTATTAGCTTATTCAATTTTCTCAAGAATATATATAGTTTTATGTATGTAAAGTAAATAGTTTATTTTTTATACTTTTCTTTGCAACGCGAGTGCCGAGTTTGTAAAAAGTGCTCCGTCTTTTTGGCAGACACCCCGAAAAGGCTCCGCCCTGAAAGGGTGAACTATTAGGCTAGTTTGATATAAATGTGCAACATTTAACGTAAATAGCATTATTAGATCTATAATTTTAACTTGCATGACAAAATTTGTAAACCCGTGTCTGCTATAAATAGGGTTAGAGATGCACACTGGGCTGGGATCACCCCACACACACATGCCCTTTCTTTCCTGAAAATTGTGTATCCATCCATTCCTGTGGCGATACAGCCCATGTAGGGCTTTAGCCTGCCTCACTACTTCCTTCCACTCAGACCTAACTAATGCTTTTCTTTCCATGCATAAATTCCCAGTTGTTGTAGATCTTTTTCCACATCATCTATCCATCTAATCCTAGGTCTGCCTTTGAGCCTTTTACCTCTGGGGTTTTGGTGATGCACCCTCTTCACTCCTCTGTCTTTTTTTTTTCTCTTTAAGTGTCCTGCCCGGTGTAGCCTGCCCTTTTTTATTTCTGCTACTATCGTGGGATCTTGATATTAGACTGTACAATTCATGGTTGGTTCGTATTCTCCATCCATATTCGTCCTTTGTTGGTCCATATATTTTCCTGAGAACGTTTCTCTCCCATGTGTTTAATAGGTTTTCTTCCGTTTTTGTTAGGGTCCAAGTTTCACTTGCATATGTTACAACTTGTCTGATTACAGTTTAAAAATAGTTTTCTTTGTTTCTCTTGTAATGTTTTTACTTTTGAGTATTTTCTGACTGCTGAAGTATGCCCTGTTTCTGGCTGATATTCTTTCTTTTATTTCTGTTACTAATTCGTTTCTTTAATTTAATAAAGATCCTGGGTATTTGAATTGATTTACTTTTTCAAAAGTCTGGTTTCTAATTTTAATGGCTTCATCTGTCTGTTCTTCTCTTATTATAGCCATGTATTTTGTTTTTTTTTTTTTGGTTGTTAACTTCCAGCCCTGCTTGTAGTGATGCGTCTTCTAATTCAATAAAAGATTTTAATATGTCATTAATACTTTTCCCTTGAAGTGCTATGTCATCAGCATATACAAGATACTGAAGGGATTGATTGTAGAGAGTGCCCATTGGTTGTAGGTCTTGAGTTTCCCTCAGAAAGTATTGAGTTATTGTTCCTCGGTTGTCAATATGTGTGCTTTTTATAACTCTCTCTAATGTTAATTTAAAAATTTTTGAGTTTTTCAATGTTACATATATCAGTCTTGTCAGTTTGTTGGGTATGCCAAACTCCTGCAGTCTCATATAGATATTTTATTTTGATGCTGTCATAGGCCATTTTAAAGTCCACATAGAGTTGATGTACTGGGAAATTATATTCATAACATTGAAAATTGTGAATGCATTCAAATAAGGTTTAAAACACCTTTTTTTTTTTCCTTAATTTTTTTAAAAACAAATATCAATTTAGTTTTAGTTAAACACAAAATTACTTAACACAGCTTTTTTACAACTATGTCACTTAATGAAGTGGAATCTTTTTATGATTATTATGACTCATCAGAAAATTAACCATTTAAAAATCCAGAGGGATGACAATTTTGGCACCCTGCGAGAAGGGTGCAACCTTTTTACCCCCCCCCCCCCCTTTGCCCTGCCCTAGTATTCAGATAAGCAAAATTTAGTTTTAATTAAAAACAAAATTACTTAACACAGGTTTTTTACAACTATGTCACTTAATGAAGTTGAATCTTTTTATGATTATTATGACTCATCAGAAAATTAACCATTTAAAAATCCAGAGGGATGACAATTTTGGCACCCTGCGAGAAGGGTGCAACCTTTTTACCCCCCCCCCCCATTTGCCCTGCTCTAGTATTCAGATAAGCAAACTGATTTGTCTGTTGCCATTTAATTCCATTTATTGATACATAAAGACCAATTAGCTGTTGACCATTGTTATATATTCCATGCATGGAAAAGCATCAGTTAGGTCTGAATAGAAGGATGTAGTGAGGCAGAACCAAAGCCCTACATGGGCTGTACCATCACAGGGATGGATATTCTTAAATATATTAATCTTTGATTGATACCAAGAAAACCTTATCTTCATCAGCAAAGTACCCCAAAAATATTATTATCTGATATCCAAAAGCTAAGGTAGTTTGCTGGTTAGTCCGTTAGTTTATTATCTATTTAAACTGATCCAGCCCCACTCAGCTTGAATTCTTTGCTCTACTGTGTCAGGTAAATGGGGTGTGGGTCTTGCCACCAGGAGATGTAATCTCAATAAAACCCCACTTGGTTGCGACACTGACAGTTGGGTGGTCAGACAAGATGGCTGCATGTTTCACAATGGAGAGGAGAAGGGCAAGCTCCCTGACATTCCACAAGAAGGAGACATAGTGGTAAGAGATTAAAGAAATTAAGTAAAACAGTCAACAACTTACAAGATACAAATGTAGAAGATTCTTGAAATGTAAAGTTAAAATGATCCAAATGTTTTGATGACAGTGTATGTATTCATTTTCAGAAAAAAAACTTTTTGATTAAATTAGCACTTTGAAACCAGTGACATTTTGAAGTAAGACATTATTGTCATACCACACTTTTAAAATGCCAATATTGGCTTGAGAGTGGGTAATCTATTTTCTAGTAGCAGGGAAAGGATGGTATATTCAAACTGATGGGGAAAAAATGGACTCCTCTAAATTTTGGTCGTTACTTGAGGAATGTTTTTCATCAGCATTTTACACCATCCAGCATAAAAAAGATTTCATTATTAAATATTAATTCAAATATTCAAGTGGATTTCTGAATTTTATGATTGTTTTGAATGAGATTTAAAGTGAAAAACTATAAATATTTCCCTGGGCTGCTTATGCCTTTTGGCTTAATTCAAAGTCACTTATTTTCTAATCATTTATAAGGGTCACTAAGTACAAACAAAATTAATATTAAATGACAGAAAATCATAAAATATTAATGGAAGCCACCATTAAAATGGCAAGATGGGCTAGAAATTTGAGAAGCAATCTGATTAGCTGGTACAAAGACCAGGCAGCCAATTTTAAGCCTTTTTTCTTTTTAGGCTGATAGAGTCCCCATAGATGTGAGGTGTGATGACATATGATGGCTGGTTTATACACTTTAAAAATGCTTTAGAATCTAGAAGTATCTGAAATTAAAATTGTCCTAGTTAAAAATTAATTAAATTATCTAAAGGAGAAATTTAAAAAAATTTAATATGCTGAAAATGAATTTGTACAAGGTAATCTATTGTCAAAACATATTTGGGCAGTGAATTTTGATCAATAAAAGAATCATTTATCTTATATTAAGTCTGCTAATTTTTTTTTAAATCTTATATTTTGATTATGTACTAAATTAAATGTTTGTAGAGATTTAGCGGAACTTAAATAAACTAAGACAAGACAACTATTTCCCCATTTTGAAACTGTAAGCCCTTGTTATATGCCTTATTGGTAATAGCTCTCACACTCACCTATTTAATTTCAGACAGTGTTGACAGCAAACTAAAGCCAAACAATAGTTTTTCATGATTTTAAGTTTTTTTTTCTGACGCTGCGCTGCACCTTATTTATAATTAACTGTGCTCTGTTTCAGGGGTTGACTTATGACCACATAGAGCTAAACTTTTTCCTAAATGGCAGCCCTGTCAATGCACCTTTCAATGGAATAAAGGGCACAGTCTATCCAGTGTTCTATGGTATTCCGTCCTGATATGTTTATTGTGTTTATAATTTAGTTGGATGAATCAAAATCATATTCATTCGAGTAATTTATACTTTAAATAACTTTACGCTAGTGATTTTTAAAAAAAAATTTTTTCCTCCCATCTTTTGTTGCTTGTTTCGATTTTATATAATAAAAAGGACGTGAAGCATCTGCTATATATAATTTCAATGTGTTACAGTTGATGATGGTGCTGTCCTTGATGTACAGTTTGAGAAGTTCTACCATTCACCTCCAGACGGCTTTGATCCCATCATGATAGAGCAGTCTCTATTATGATGTTGTAGTCTGCATGAGCTCCTGTTATTTCTGTCCTAGATTAATTTTCTGTGACAGTGAAAAAAATATCTCTGACTGTGAATGCGTGCCTGTCTATTCTTGTGAGAAACCAATTTTTTTTTTTGTGTGGCACTCTGTAAATAGTTGCGTGAATTCATGTTAATTTTGAAGGTAGCTAATGGAGATTTTTCTTTGTCTACCAAGAACATTGGTAACTTGAATAAGCTTTAATTGAGTGGGGAAAGGCTTTGCCAAAGAATACCTTTTTACAAAAACTACATTTTCTCTGTGTTTTCATATTAATGGGGTTTTTTTTAAAAAAAGAAAATCGTATGTTCAGCTTCAAAATTTGTCTGTCGAATGAAATAGCTTTTATCTTTAATCACATATGTGTCCATCAATTCACTGAAATGGCCACAATTTCTTAATTTTTTTTTAAAATCTCTATTACTGGTATAGACTTACTATTGAAGTGATTGATGATCACAAATTAATCTAAAATGAAGAGAGAAAAAAAAATTCACTGTAATGAAAATCTTTAAAATCTTTGTTTTACCCAAGTTTTGAAATGATTTAAATTTAAAACACAAAGCACTAATTCTGCCACAAGAGTTACATATATAAATCAGTAATATATCAGTATATATAATTCATTGATCGTGGGCCCTTAAAATAAAGAAGAAGAAGAAGAAGTAATGATGTTTGCTTTTGATGTGAATTGCTGATGAAAAGGTTGATTGAAATAATCAAACTTCGAGAACTATTCAGATTTCAGGCCTGGACAGCCAGCAACCAAAAGATTCAGACACATTTCACCAACGGTCTGATTCTATGAATTAATTTATAGTTTACCAGTTTTTAAAGCTGGGGCATTGGCATTAAAGTTACACTTATGGCGCTTAAATTTTTTTTAATTGGCCTTCAAACTTGTGATCAGCCAGGTTTATCTATTTCAAATCCATGTCTGCCTCATCAGCCTAGGTTTCTATTCTTTGTTCTTAGTTAACAGCAAGCTTAAATTTAAATTCAGTTTTTAAATTTATAGCATTGGCTGAATCAGGTTTAAAAATATTATAAAGTGTCAGATGGCCACACTTATAATGCAGGATGGCCCTTGGATAATGTTTACCTTACGTGTCTCAAGATGCTAGTATAATTAACATTTAAAATAAATTTATGCTTAACTTTGACGAAATTCAGATTAAATGTTATTAATTGTGAAAAAAAATTTTTATTGGGTTTAACTGTACTTGCCGGACTGCTATTTCTACTAATTATTTGTAAATTTATTAAGTTGACTACTTTTCTCTGATGTGTATTTCTCTTACTTGATCTATGTAAATTAGTTAAGTCCTGAATTGTAATTATGAGTGCATTAAGTTGAAAATGTTTGCTAAAAACAGTTTATGTAACATACTTGTAATCCTCATTGGAACATTTTTTGTTATTTTTGGAAAAGATTTTGTTTCTTTTATTAATACACTTCTTTTGAACAGAAATAGAAATTATTTCATCTGAGGAAAAAGCTATATGTAATATTTTTTTAAATTACATTACTGGACAAAAATGACCGGTACTATGTTCTACAGGGCGAAAAAAAAAAGAATAAAAAATCCAAGAAAATTTCTATTGCACAAAATTTTGCTTGAATTGACTTTACAATGTAAATATGGGCAAAATATATCTCTAATGTGAGAAGAAGAAAAAACATAAATGAAGTGTGTCAACTGCTCATGCTGTTACTCAGTTCTATTTTAACTGATAACAACCAGGGGAAACTACCAAAAATATATTTTTTATTCTGCAGACATCCAATTCATCAAAGTTTAGAGCATATGTTAATAACTTTTTAAAGAGAGTGGGGTGGGGGTTGTAAATGTAAGCAGTAATGGAAAAAAAAAAATTACATTTGACATAATTTGAATTCCCTGGAGAAATTGTCATTTTATTTTTTGCCTACTGGGTCACTGTGTCATTGTTAGAGAAGGAGAAATGAATCAGGAATCTGCATCTAAAGATGGCCAAAACACATGGTCCATATAAAGATATCTTATCCAGATAAAAACTAATTTAAGGTAATTCAAATGTGTCACCACCCATTAGTAATTAGGAGACGGAAAGCTCATATTAAAGATCTCTGAATAGTCAGTGATCTTAAAACCGTTACAAAGGGAATCCAGTGATTAAGTTTGTAAATAGTTGTGTTTTTTTTTAAAATTATTATTCAAAGCAGTTATTTTTAATTCCTCTGTTTATTTGTGAATACTTATGTGTAATTATTTTGTGTAAAGATGTAACATCATCCTTGGTGGTGGTTGTAGCACATAGTTTTGATGTAAATATTTTTTCCTGTTGACAACTTGTGAATACTTATGTGAAATTATTTTGTGTAAAGATGTAACATCATCCTTGGTGGTGGTTGTAGCACATAGTTTTGATGTAAATATTTTTTCCTGTTGACAACACGTTGTAGAATGTCATAAGCTTGCAGAGGTCAGCAACCTGCGGCTCTCTGGATGAATAAATGCCGTCTCCGTTCATTGTTGAACATCAACTATCTTTAACGACAAAAAAAGAGTGAATAAATAATTTGATTATGACATTTGTTTGAATGCGGTTGCTAAATTTGATGAATCATAACAAAGCTATTGCTCCCTGTGTCCTGCACAGATTGCCCCTGCCTGTGGCTCCCCAAATATTTTCTTAGCGGACATAATTTATAAAATTGCTCTTTACGTTATAAAAATTTTTTAAAACGTTGCTGACCCCTGCATTGGTTGATACCATGGCGTGTGTTCATTTTAAAAAACACATAAAGTCTAATGAATGCTTTTTTAAACATTTTTTTTTTAAAAATATATAGTGTATGCTAGAAGAAAATAGCAGTGCTTGCCCTTTAAGTCAGTTGCAGTAGTGGCCTCTGGTGGAAAAAGAATGTACTAAATATCAAGCAGAGAGGCAAAATCATGGGCATTATTTTCATGTTATTTTCATGGCTGTCGTTCATTTCATATTCAGAATATTGTTTTTGAATCTGGTAAAAATCAAAACAATTAATACTTGAAGTAGTAACAAAATATGAGTCAGTGGGTTTGACTCATTTGGTTGTTGATTGATTGGATTCACTCTAGGATGAGCTCACCAAACACTGATCATTAACATTTGATGCAGTTTATGATGAGCTTATCAAACAGTGATATAATTGAAAATGTGATTTCTGTGTTTTGGAATTAATGTTGCTCTCACATGTCAAATGTCTGGCGCAGCCATGTTGTCTGTCCACAGCCCTGTTGTCTGTCCACAGCCATGTTGTCTGTCCACAGCCATGTTGTCTGTCCACAGCCATGTTGTCTGTCCACTGATGTCTGGCGCAGCCATGTTGTCTGTCCACTGAATATGAACATTGGTTTTTGTTTTGCTTGTCCTCATATCTTTAGTGCATTTTGATTTTGTTGCAGTCTGATAAAGAAATGGTGCAATATATATATTATTTTATAACATATGGTACATCCCATAGTACTGACATACAATTGATGTGCTTCTTTATTCAGGGCTTCTCCATTCACAAACTGACAATTGATTCGACGCCAGACACGTCTCCATTCACCAACTGACAATTGATTCGACGCCAGACACATCTCCATTCGCCAACTGACAATTGATTCGACACCAGACATGTCTCCATTCACCAACTGACAATTGATTCGACGCCAGACACATTTCCATTCGCCAACTGACAATTGAATCGACACCAGACACATCTCCATTCACCAACTGACCATTGATTCGACACCAGACATGTCTCCATTCACCAACTGACAATTGATTCGACGCCAGACACGTCTCCATTTCCATTCACCAACTGACTTAAGTGTTAATAAAACTTATGAAAAAGGGTGTATTGGGGGGGGGGGGNGGGGGGGGGGGGGGGTGCTCCTCAGGATCTAATGCTGCACTGGACAAGGCACATGATAGAATTACAACTGTATGGGTCTCTGAATGAGTGTTATTGAGTGACAGCTCTCTAAATGGGTGCACTAAGTTGGTTGTTATATAGCATCTAATTCTTTAAGAACCCTGACCCATAATCAATTTGCTTTACCCACAGTTTAACAATATATCATTTATTATTTATAATCAATTTGCTTTAACTCACAGTATAACAATATAAATTCAAATAAATTCCTTTTTTTTTTTTAATTCACTCATTGAATTTGAAAATTACCACCACCACCCTCACTTGGCCACCCCCCCTCCCTTTTTTTTTTTAAATTTTCATTTTTTTTTTTACAAGTCTGCCAATTGAATTATTAATATTTATTGGTTTTATTTGTATAATTTGTACTGCATATGGTGCAGACAATGTTCATGTGTATTATTAATTTATCATTTAAACATATTTATGTGAAAGTCTTGAAAGTTATATTACTTGTTTTACTTACTTTATAACTAAATAAGCTAAAGAAAGTCTTTGTATAAATAGCAAAGTCATGTATATAAACAATAAAGCACAGTAAATATAGTCCAAGTTAAGAGGACTAGAAGTTTTTTTTTTTTTTTTTCTGTAGTTTTGCAGCTGTGCATGTCTTCATCATCAGTGGCGCTACACCCCATGTTAGGGCCCTGGCCTGCTCCACCACAATTTGTATAAATAGCAAAGTTATGTATATAAACAATAAAGCACAGTAAATATAGTCCAAGTTAAGAGGACTAGAAGTTTTTTTTTTTTTTTTTTTCTGTAGTTTTGCAGCTGTGCATGGCTTCATCATCAGTGGCGCTACAGCCCATGTTAGGGCCCTGGCCTGCTCCACCACATTCTTCGATTTGGATCGATCCATGGCTTTCCGTCTCCATGCGCAAACCCCCAAATGGTGTGAATCCTTCCCTACATTGTTGATCCATCTCAGGCTGGGTCGACCGTTGAGCCGTCTGCCCCTAGGTTTTCTGCCTGTGTATCACTTTTGCTGCACTAAAATCTCCGGCGGCATCCTTTCAAACGTTCAATATGTCCTGTCCAGAGCAGTCTGTGCATGAGTCTGTGATTATGGTCCCAAACTGTACAGTTAAGAGTGGTTCATAATGTAAACATCTCATGAAAATATAGTTTTTAAAATATCTGAACTTGGTCTTGTGTTGCCATATATGGTCTGAAAGATTGTTTGTCTGAGAGGTTGAGGATGTCTGAAAAGTTGAGGATATGGCTACGTATCAGAATCTTCGAGAATGATAATGAAGTATTGTCATGGTGGGGTGTAACCAAGCTCAACTCACAATAACAATGCGGAGATATTGTGTGGAAGATGAGCAGGCTGAGTCGCTCTAAACTATGAGTAGAGGCTCAGTCAATATCAGACCTGTTTACTCGTACGATTTTGGCGTACAATGTACGATTTTGAGGTGTATACATTATATATCCTGATGTTTATTTTACTATTAAGATAATGTATTGATTGATTTTGTGATGATATTGTACGATTTTAAGAGTTTGAGGGTAAACAGGTCTGCAATATACACGAAAATGGTCCTTGCCATAATAGATGAAAAACGAGACATAAAGTTACTTCGAGGCAGAATGGTCTTTCCGTGGTGCTCTTGACACTATCACAAAACGAAAGAGCTGACTCTCTAGCTAGGCTAGGGTTAGAGTCTTATCGCCCAGATAACAACAGAACACTGTCGTCATACTCCAAGCTCGGGCCCCGAGCTACCGTCACTGTGGACAGGCGCCGGAGACAGTAGTGCACCTATTAACCCAGTGTCGGAGACAGTAGTGCACCTATTAGCCCAGTGTCAGAGACAGTAGTGCGCACCTATTAGCCCAGAGACAGTAGTGCGCACCTATTAGCCCAGAGACAGTAGTGCGCACCTATTAGCCCAGTGTTGGAGACAGTAGTGCACCTATTAGCCCAGTGTCGGAGACAGTAGTGCACCTATTAGCCCAGTGTCGGAGACAGTAGTGCACCTATTAGCCCAGTGTCGGAGACAGTAGTGCACCTATTAGCCCAGTGTCGGAGACAGTAGTGCACCTATTAGCCCAGTGTCGGAGACAGTAGTGCACCTATTAGCCCAGTGTCGGAGACAGTAGTGCACCTATTAGCCCAGTGTCGGAGACAGTAGTGCACCTATTAGCCCAGTGTTGGAGACAGTAGTGCACCTATTAGCCCAGTGTTGGAGACAGTAGTGCACCTATTAGCCCAGTGTTGGAGACAGTAGTGCACCTATTAGCCCAGTATCGGAGACAGTAGTGCACCTGTTAGCCCAATGTCGGAGACAGTAGTGCACCTATTAGCCCAGTGTTGGATACTAATGAGTGACGGAGTTTGGGAACAGCCCAGACATCCACATTGAAAGTCTGATCTGGAACAGCCCAGACACCGACATTGAAAGTCTGATCTGGAACAGCCAAGACACCGACATTGAAAGTCTGATCTGGAACAGCCCAGACACCGATATTGAAAGTCTGATCTGGAACAGCCCAGACATCCACATTGAAAGTCTGATCTGGAACAGCCCAGACATCCACATTGAAAGTCTGATCTGGAACAACCCAAACACCGACATTGAAAGTCTGATCTGGAACAGCCCAGACATCCACATTGAAAGTCTGATGTGGAACAACCCACACACCGACATTGAAAGTCTGATGTGGAACAGCCCAGACATCCACATTGAAAGTCTGATCTGGAACAGCCCAGACATCCACATTGAAAGACTGACCTGGAACAGCCCAGACAACCTCATTGAAAGTCTGATCTGGAACAGCCCAGACATCCACATTGAAAGTCTGAACTACGGCGATGTGCAAAGCAGATGCGTCACACCTAAAAAGTGCTCCCGAGACCCATACAAGAGCACCAGCTTGGCCCTGAGAAGGTGATCAATATTACGGTTGGTACACAGCTCAGTTTTAGTCCGGTTCCTGTTGTGGTTTGATAATGCAGTCTCTGGTACGTTCGTCTTTGAGTACAAAGTTGATAGTCTGTGTTAGTCTGTACATGTATCAACAATAAGTGGATCTTTTGGCAGGGCCTATTGGTCCGACCCGGTCAGTTAGTGTTATCTCTTTCGTTTGTTGTTGTTTTTTTTTTTTTTATTTCAATCGGCTATCCCTGAACAAACACAAATAAAGACATGTGACTGTATTAAAAGGAAATATTATTTAAATCAATACCATGGTCAGAATTCCATTTTTTTTTTTTTTTTTTTTTTTATTAAGTTCAAGTAAAAAAATACCTGCAATAATTATTGGCGATAATTGTGTCAATTTTAAAACATTGTGATTGATTTTCTTTAACGGAAACTTTAGAATATACACAGAAAAGGGGGGGGGCACAGTTTTGCACATAAATTATTCCATTGTTGAAATAATGTTCTTTAAAGAAAATAGTATTCTGTAATTTCGTACAATGTTAACTTCCCCGACATTTAAAGTCATGAAGAAATATCACGTTGATGCCGCCATTGAGGATACAGGCGTCAAAATCGACTTGTGAAGAACTGCGGGAACAATGTTTGACCACTTGAGAAGGCTGCCGGCTATTTTGATGCCCGAGAACGACTTCGACGACGTCGGCCATTGCTTGTGGCTAGGCTTCGCAGCCTTGTCTCCTCCAAATATGTAAAGCTTATCGTGGAGCGCGATGGCGCCGTAGAGCTTGTAACGAAAGTCCCAAAGCACCTCCACAAACTTGATAATTACAGCCTTGCCTTCATTTCGTTGGATCTCCCACAAGTTCCCGTTTTGCTGAAGTAAGTATATTACCGCTCCCTGTTTGAAAACGACCACGTGTTCAGCAGGCCCGTTCATGTTGTCAAGTCTTGTCCACGTTTGAGACCTGGTGTCGAGGCTATACACGGCTGTCTCTTCCAAGCCGTTAATCATCTCTGAACAAAACGCCAGCACGGACACATCCAAAGAGCACGCGTTAACCACGGCAGTGGTCCCGGGAAAACACGTTACATCCTCAAGACATGTATTCAGTTGCTTGGGATCAATTCGCTTAACTTTCTGATTTGACGAATTGAACAGATACATGTATTCTTCATGAGCAACACCAAGCCACCCGGTACCATGTATCGTGGTCACTTCACGCCACAAGTCTTTAGCAAACACATACAGAACACTGTTGCCGCAGTACTCTTTTACAGCATACAGGTCGGTCAAATACGAAATGAGATGAACGGAAATGCACGAGTTCATAAAAGGACTAATGGGCATCTTTTTCAGTTTAAATTTGGCATCGCATGATGACAGTGCCAGGAACTTCCCACTGCGGTGAGCCATGACTCCCACGTTTACAAAGTCGCTGTAATGTCTGTGAATGGCTGCATTCGGCCACTGGCCATGTCTGCCCCCGATCGATTGATACAGGGCTGCGTCCATGACCAGTTGTGTGGATTCCTTGTTGGACCTGATCAACGGGTCACGTGATAGGGTTTTAAGGCACCCAGAGGTCACAAGGCAAAGTCTGGTCGCTGAGAGAAGCCTGGCGGGATTTTTCAAACGAAGCGTTTCGCTGTCGACTTCTGAAGCAGGTGATGTTGACTTAATGATGCTGTCCAGCACGCTCTTCACCATGTCATGTAGAGCTTCTTTTCGGAATGCTTTATTACTGACGCGAAAATTTTTCTGCACGTCATTTTGGTCTGAGCCTATGGTATCAAGACCAATGGTGTGAATCTCTTTGCTGTAAAATCCACTGTGTTGTGATCTCCTTTTCTTAAAAACATCTTCTCGCTCATTTTTAACCTGATAATTTCTTACTTTGACCCATGTCAGAATCGACTCGACGACCACATCTTCGGAGGATACGATCAGATCTTGGCTTTCTATAACTTCCAGCAGGTCGTTTTCAGTAAGGCAGTAGAGCACATCTGATTTGGTGACGGCATCATAATTAGCCTTGACGAATTCTCGAACGTGAGATACAACTGAATCACAGCCAAGAAGTCTAGCAGTCACGTATATTTGTTCACAGTTTTCTATCGAAGTATTTCTTTTGACGAATGTTTCACAAGTTTCAACAACAATTAAACTTTGCATTTGTTTAGCCACTTGCCAAACGGGGAGAACATTTTCAACAGAAATATTGGCTTCTATAAAATCCGTGCACAGCTTGCATAGAAATGGAATTTGAAGATGATCCACCGCAATCCAAACACTTAACATATTGTTCTGCGTCAAATTACCATTTCCGGTGTAGAGAGAATCCAAAATGGCCTTGAAAATTTCCTCGGAGAAGCCCTCGAGCTTTGTCCTCTGTTCTTTCGACTCTTTCATCCCAGACCTGAGAAGACCACGGAAAAATCCAGAGCACGCGCTGAGTATCAGACGATGACATTTAAATTCTTTGCCTTCAACTTCAACAACGAAATCCTGGAGTTCTTCATCTTCTCTCACAGATGATATACCTTCAATGATGGCGCATGCGACGGTCTCACTCATTCCCGTCTTGGGGCTGGCGCTCTCAATGCTTGAGGTGAACTCTGATTGTTTAAAACAAATTTGTCAACACAGTTTTAACGCAATTTTAATACAATATTTTAAAATGTGTCTGTTACAGCTTTATATAAGTATAATTTGTTAATAATTTTTAGTCAATCACGTAACATTTATGAATATAGCTACCATACATAATAATGATCACACTATTCTTAAGGAAAATATTCTTATAAGTTATTATTTTTAAAATTCGATTTTTTAAAAATATTGTTAAAAATATTTTTGTGTGTGTATTGTAATCATAACGTTTTACAGCTATGCACTGTTTGTCTACACACCCAGTATTCGTATTTATGCCAAGTCTGTCATTATTTTGCTACACATTGATTGAACTGTTGCATTTATAATCATGCTGGATAACGAAAATGCCGCCGAACTTTAATAAATCGTAACTCACCCATTCTTGGAGGGAAAGTTCCAAGCTGAAATGAAATCCATGTTCAGAGACTTTGAAACACGAATCCAATCCTTAGTACGGTGGAAAACGGCGGGAACAAGGGTAAAATGAGGGCATTTTCAAAATCGAACAGGAAGGTAGCTGAGTAGCAGGCCTGATACGTCAATGGATAATATACTGGGCCACAGAATGGTACAGCGATTCTCAAAAGGTTGCCGAGGACTTTCATGATTTTGGGATACATGCAGTTCTCTTTTTTTTCTTCCTCTTTTTTTTGTTACAAAAAAGTTACCAGTATTCACTTCTTGTTAATATCTTAGGGGGTCATCCATTATGACGTCACACATCGGATGTAGGAGTCACGATTTTATGTCCAAATATTATAATGGTGTCTAAATTTTATGAACAATTTAAGACAATTTAGGGGGGTGGGGGTGGGAAGAAGAGATGTCTAATATCGACCAAAATGGTGTGACGTAATTTATGGATTCAGAAATATCAACAGGCGACTTTTTGTTTGTTCTATCGTTGTGTCTATTAACATTCTCGCCTTCTTAGCAGGACAAGTGGTTCGGAAGTCATTGTAATTTTTTTTTCCATTTCAACGACGATTTTTGTACCGGAAATAACTGTTCTAACGCCCAGGGAGAGCACAGCACAGCTTTTTGCCGCCCCCTTTTCTACGAAGCAGCCCGCATGCACCGTGTTCATGATTCCCCCCCTCCCCCCCAAACCTATTACGATGGACAGGGCGATTCAAGTGCATGTGGACCAATCATAAAGTGATCACACAGCTACTTGGAAAATCCGTCGGAAAAAAGGGAACGGCACGCTGTTTGGTGTGTGTTCTACGACAAAAAAAAAAAAATCCCTGGATACATGTATCCTGTAAAGATAACTGAAGTTCACCCTTGATCACAGCTTTAAATGTGTCTCCAGTGCTCATGTTTGACATCTAGATTTTAAATAACGTCATTATCCAAAACATGGATTGAAAAACAAAAAAAGTATTTGAACATTATACACAAAACATATGTTTCAGAGGATTGTATTATTAACTATTGGGAGTGTCAGGGCTACGCTTTTTAAAAGTAAACATCAACTTTTTGTATACACTTAACAATTTCTGCTTGTAGGCCCACAACTACATCAACTTTTTGTATACACTCAACAATTTCTGCTTGTAGGCCCACAACTACATCAACTTTTTGTATACACTCAACAATTTCTGCTTGTAGGCCCACAACTACATCAACTTTTTGTATATACTCAACAATTTCTGCTTGTAGGCCCACAACTACATCAACTTTTTGTATACACTCAACAATTTCTGCTTGTAGGCCCACAACTACATCAACTTTTAATTTAAAAGCGCACATCAACTTTTGAATGTGCATCGCAATTTATTTATTTTTTTTTAACTTTTACTTTTTTGCCTATGCCTTCATCAACTTTGAAACTAAATTTACACATCACATTTGAACACACCAAACTTCGACACCCTCGAAACAGTTTTGGAGTAAGCGTCGTATCTTAAAGCTGAACGCGCCTTGCCATCATCGACAATATTGTCGTCAGCGTTGACTTTCATTACAGAATTGCAGGACTCGTGCGGCACTATATGACCGAAAGCAGCATTGTAAAAAATATATCTTATGAGTTGGAAGAAAAAAATAGAACAATAGAAACGTAAACAGGTTGCCTTTTTGTCGCATTTATGTGGTACTTTAAAGAAAATGGTGTTTACAGTACTATCACTATCTTTAGTTTACGCATTTCCTCTAGGGTCGTAAGACTGCGTACTTTGGTATTTTATTGCAATGGTTACGATACCCTTGGGAAAGTACACTTGGTATGGGGGTATTGGAATGTAGTTAAAAAAATATTTTTAAAAAGTTTTTCCGTTGAAAATGAGTTGAAATAAACTAAAATGTAGAAACTTTTGTTTTGAAAATTGTTTAACATTCACTACGCAAAGAAAGTATTGCAGAAGGGTAGTAAGCACCCTTATAGTTAATGACTATCACTTACTATGGACCTGGCCTGCTACAATGAACTATCACTTTCTATGGACCTGACCTACTACGATGAACTATCACTTTCTATGGACCTAGCCTACTACAATGAACTATCACTTACTATGGACCTGGCCTGCTACAATGAACTATCACTTACTATGGACCTAGCCTACTACAATAAACTATCACTTACTATGGACCTGGCCTGCTACAATGAACTATCACTTTCTATGGACCTAGCCTGCTACAATGAACTATCACTTACTATGGACCTGACCTACTACAATGAATTATCACTTTCTATGGACCTAGCCTACTACAATGAATTATCACTTTCTATGGACCTGACCTACTACAATGAATTATCACTTTCTATGGACCTGGCCTACTACAATGAACTATCGCTATATCTATGGACCGGGCCTTCTACCATGAACTATCACTATCCATGGACCGGGCCTACTACAATGAATTATCACTTTCTATGGACCTAGCCTACTACAATGAATTATCACTTTCTATGGACCTAGCCTACTACAATGAATTATCACTTTCTATGGACCTAGCCTACTACAATGAATTATCACTTTCTATGGACCTAGCCTACTACAATGAATTATCACTTTCTATGGACCTAGCCTACTACAATGAATTATCACTTTCTATGAACCTGACCTACTACAATGAACTATCGCTATATCTATGGACCGGGCCTTCTACCATGAACTATCACTATCCATGGACCGGGCCTACTACAATGAACTAACACAATCCATGGACCGGGCCTACTACAATGAACTAACACAATCCATGGACCGGGCCTACTACAATGAACTAACACAATCCATGGACCGGGCCTACTACAATGAACTATCGCTATCCATGGACCGGGCCTTCTACCATGAACTAACACAATCCATGGACCGGGCCTACTACAATGAACTATCACTATCCATGGACCGGGCCTACTACAATGAACTATCACTATCTATGGACCGGGCCTTCTACCATGAACTATCACTATCCATGGACCGGGCCTACTACAATGAACTATCGCTATCTATGGACCGGGCCTTCTACCATGAACTATCACTATCCATGGACCGGGCTTACTACAATGAACTATCACTGTCTATGGGCCATGCATAGATTGCTATGTGTCCTTATGTTGAGTGTACCCAGAACCATAAAAGCTTTAATTTGATCATAAATCATCAGCTGGGGTTGGTGTCACCCGGTGCAGTAAACTCATGGTGTCACATCCCCCCCCCCCTTACTCCCCCAACTCCCTCGATGAATTTCTTCTTCTTAAAATAAGTCCATAGTATAACGATGGCAAGAATTAATTGAAAGTCAGGGGAGGTAAATGTATTTTAAAAAATGTAAAACATTTAAGTTACAGTTATTCTTACATTACATTTACTTTATTTAAAATTAGACATTCCTGGTCCTCAAAGCTGAAATCCTGTAAATCACTTCATCAAAATCAATACGTCACCGTATCACTTGGATTGGTTACATGTGTGGGGAAAGTACGATCGATCGGTTATCCTTTATGAAATTTGATTCGACCGAGCAGTGTTTGATCTGTACTTATGCAATTTTTCAGTTAGGTGTCACCCCCTTACCTAAGTGATCCACAGCCCCCGCACCCTTCTAGTTACGCAACTGCTCATAGCTGATATAGTTTTGCTTCTAAGCCTTCTCTTTAAAATGGCTATCTAAAAATTAAAAGCTGAAAAAACTGTATTAAAATAATTATTGACTGCAATCAAAAATAATTGGGAAAGTAACTTACCACTGAAAATGTTGATAGGTGAACTGAACAGCAGGTTGCCACCTTAGCAGGGCAGGTTTCCACCAGAACAGGGTGTCACCGGATAGCTCAGGGTGCGATCAGAGTAGGTTGCAAACAAAACAGTAATTTCACCAAAGCGGGGCGCCACCAGAGTAAGGCACCACCAGAGTAGGGCACCACCAGAGTAGGGCGCCACCAGAGACGGGCGCCACCAGAGTAGGGCGCCACCAGAGTAGGGCGCCACCCGAGTAGGGCGCCACCCGAGTAGGGCGCCACCCGAGTAGGGCGCCACCAGAGTAGGGCGCCACCAGAGTAGGGCGCCACCAGAGTGCCATACTCATTAAGCCTACTATTATTTATCACGACCCTTTTTTTTTTTTTTTTTGAGGAGTTTTTCAAACTTGTTTTCCAACCACTCGTCCAGATGGTCCTTAACCGAAAAGGATTTTTTTCTTAAATTTCATTATGAACTGAAGGAGGACCGTAAAAACATTAAACACTGTACACATATTTTTTTGACGCGAGACGAAATGGGAAATCTCAACTGTTGCGATTTCTTCCTACCGGGTATAAAGCTATACTATAAACTATGTGATACCGTATCAATCATTTCACCACTCATGAGACTGGCATACATTAAACTAACGTTACGAAATTGGCTATTTCATACACATACATAAAAAATATGGGAGGTATGTATTCACTTTTTCTTATTACCTTCGTAAGTTTATTTTTAAAATGTGAAGATTTAGGATATGTATCGGTTAATTTGAATTTGTTGATTTGGCAGCCATTTTTTGTTTTCAAAACTGAAACTTATGAAGAGCCATTTGCCGTCTGCCGTTGGAAAGTCCAGGCTATCCGGTTCTGGGGGATTTTGTCATGAAATTGAAATGTAGCAGTTGGCAGTTTTTTTTCGGCCATCAAAGTAAAGTATTCAGTTAAAAAAATTAACGTTTAAAAAAAAAAGGAAGATGTGTTTCATTTTTATACACAGTTACCTCAAATTCTAATTTTTCTTATTGTGTATGCTGTTGCTTTAGGTAAGACTTACTTGGAAGCAATGCAGTGGTTCTTTAGGTTCTGGTTAAGAATTACATAATTACTCGATGCAGGACTAATTGGGGGGGGGGGGGNAGCTACCAATCCACTGGTGCAACCTATCCACAGTAGCTACCAATCCACTGGTGCAACCTATCCACAGTAGCTACCAATCCACTGGTGCAACCTATCCACAGTAGCTACCAATCCACTGGTGCAACCTATCCACAGTAGCTACCAATCCACTGGTGCA